ATAAAGAATATCTAGAGAATTCTAAGAAAATATCTTGATGTGTGGTCTAGGTGTCTCTAGAAAATGTGTGGATTAGAAGTTTCATGTAAACACTATGCCCCTGTTTGTTTCTCATTATTTTGCCATTAAAATGAAAAATATGACTGTTATTCATCACATCAAGCCATCATATTTGAACTTCTATTTCTTGTGTGGGTTCCATAATAGCTATATTTTTCAACTCATTCTTACATTAATAGAAAACAAACGGGCCCTATATAAAGGTGTAGTGCCCTCCATTTTGTAACTAGCTAAAAAGTGTGTAAAGTCTTGAAATTAAGAAATACAAGTTTCCTTTTTCACTTCCTCCTTCTTATTAGTGTTGTCCTCTTAAAAGCCTTAGTCAATCCAAGTTAGTAAACCCATTTTTCCTCAAACAAACTGGTATCAGAGCCCTAAGGTTTTTGTGAAAAATGGCAAGTGGGATAATTCCTTTTCAAGTCCTCCAACTCAACAAGGATAACTACAACAATTGGAGCATATGGATGAAAGCATTGATTGGGTCGCAAGATGCATGAGAGATCGTAGAGAAAGGCTACACGGAGCCACAAGACGATGTTTCTCTATCCCAAGCACAAAGGAATAGTTTGAAGGATGCAAGGAAGAAGGACAAGAAGGCGCTCACCCTCATCTATCAAGTCTTAGATGAAGGAATGTTCGAGAAAGTAGCTTGTGCTACTACAAGTAAGGAAGCATGGGAGATCTTGCAAAACTCCCACAAAGGAGTTGAGAATGTGAAAAAGGTTCGACTCCAAACACTTCGAGGTGAGTTTGAAGCTTTACATATGAAAGAATTGGAATCAATTTCTGATTACTTCTCTAGAGTATTGGCTATTGTGAATCAATTAAAAAGGAATGGAAAAAAGTTGAACGACACTCGAGTAATTGAGAAGATACTTAGGTCTTTGGATTCTAAATTTGACTACATAGTTGTAGCTATTGAGGAATCTAAAGATCTAGATAGTATGATTGTCGATCAACTCATGGGATCTTTACAAGCCCATGAGGAAAGACTAAGGAAGAAGGTGAAGAAGAGCCATTAGAGCAAGCTCTTCAAACAAAGCTCACTTTGAACGAGGGTGAAGGAAGGTTCAACAGTAGAAGATGCCAAAGAAGAAGAGGACGAGGCCAAGATCGAGGAAGAAGTGCATTCTATAAGGAGGAAAGAAGACAAAGCTCATTTTCCACTAGAGATCGTGAAACAGGAAAAGGTACGAGGCAAAATGAAGGGTCAAGGTATGACAAATCTCAGATGTTACAATTGTCAAAAACTTGATCATTATGCTTCAGAATGTAGAAATATTATTAATCAAGTTGAGGAGAAAGCCAACTACACTTGTCGGGAAAGTGAAGTAGATCCTGCACTACTGTTGGCCTACAAAGGTGAAGAGAGCAAAGAAAAGAACACTTGATATTTGTATACAGGAGCAAGCAACCATATGTGTGGAAGGAAAAACATGTTTGTAGAGCTAGATGAATCAGTAAGCAGCAACATTACCTTTGGAGATGAATCCAAGATTTCAGTGAAGGGAAAAGGTAAAATCTTGATCCGCTTGAAAAATGGTACGCATTAATTTATCTCAAATGTCTATTATGTGCCCAATATGAAGAATAACATTTTAAGTTTGGGACAACTCTTAGAGAAGGGCTATGATATTCATTTGAAAGATCATAGTCTTTCAATAAGAGATCAAAGAGAAAATTTGATTGTCAAAGTCCCTATGACAAGAAATAGAATGTTTGCGTTAAGCATTCAAAATGATGTCGTTAAATGCTTAAAAGCTTGTTTTAAAGATTCATCTTGGCTTTGGTACTTGAGATTTGGACATCTTAATTTTGGAGGCTTAAAGTTGTTGAGTAAGAAGAAAATGGTGAAATGTTTGCCTTCAATAAATCATGCGGATCAATTATGTGAAGGATACTTACTTGGAAATCATTCGAGAAAAAGTTTTCCAAAAGAAACTTCTACAAGAGCTAAGAAGTCACTAGAACTTGTACATTCCGATGTTTGTTGGCCAATTAATCTAAGCTCTCTCGGTAAGAGCAATTACTTTGTTCTTTTTATTGATGATTTTAGTAGAAAGACTTGGGTCTATTTTCTCAAACAAAAATCTAAAGTTTTTGAAACTTTAAGAAGTTTAAAGTTCTTGTTGAAAAAGAAAGCGGATATAGTATAAAAGCCTTAAGATCGAATAGAGGAGGAGAGTTCACCTCCAAAAAGTTTGAGAAATATTGTGAGGAGAATGGAATTCGTTACCTATTGGCGGTTTTATACTCTCCACAATAAAATGGAGTAGTCGAAAGAAAGAATAGATTCATTATTAATATGGCCCGCTGTATGCTCAAAAGTAAGAGATTGCCCAAAGAACTTTGGGCCGAAGCTGTTAATTGCGTCATGTATCTGTCTAACCGATCGCCTTCTAGAAGTGTGTGGAATAAGGCACCACAAGGAGCATGGAGTGGAAAAAAGTCCAGCATCTCTCATCTACGAGTATTTGGAAGCATTGCATATGCTCATGTGCCAGATCAAAAATGGTCCAAGCTAGATGACAGGAGTGAAATGTATGTTTTTATCGGTTATGACTCTCACTCTAAAGGCCACAAGTTGTATAATCCAAGCAATGAGAAGATCACCATAAGTAGAGATGTTGAGTTTGATGAAGAAGAAGCTTAGGATTGGGGTGTCCAAGAAGAAGACTATGACTTCTTACCATTCTTTGATGAAGAAGAACAAGAGAATGAAGAGTAGCAAGAGATTATCAGTCCACCTCTATCACCTACCCATGGAGATGCTTCTCCATCATCTTCATGAGGAGAAAGTTCAAGCGAAATGACACCACGGATGAGGAGCCTACAAGAGCTATATGAGGTAACAGAAAATCAAAATGATCTCACACTTTTTTATCTTTTTGCTGATTGTGAACCAATAGGGTATGAAGAAGCAGCGCAAAATAAAAGATGGAGAGATGCTATGGATGAAGAGATTAAGGTTGTAGAGAAAAATGACACGTGGGAGCTGACAACTCTTCCCAAAGGAAAGAGAACAATCAGAGTTAAGTTGGTGTATAAGGCAAAGAAGAACACTAAAGGAAAAGTAGAAAGATACAAAGCAAGATTGGTTGCCAAAGGCTACAACCAACAATCGGGAATCGATTATGAAGAGGTATTTGCTCCTGTTACTCGTTTAGAAACCATAAGATTAATTATCTCTCTTGCAGCGCAAAATAAGTAAAAGATATTTCAAATGGACGGGAAATCAGGTTTTCTAAATGGTTATCTCGAAAAAGAAATCTATGTGGAGCAACCAATGGACTATAAAGTAAAAGGATATGAAGGTAAAGTCTTGAAATTAAAAAAGGTTTTATATGGGTTGAAACAGGGTCCAAGGGCATGGAATAATAGAATTGACAAGTATTTTCTAGAAAATGACTTCACAAAATGCTCTCATGAGTATGCCCTTTATACAAAGGTAAATGAGAAAGGAGATATTTTGTTTGTTTGTAGATGATCTTATATTCACAGGAAATAATCAAAGTATGATTATTGAGTTTAAGAAAGCCATGGCACAAGAATTTGAGATGATGGATATCGGCCTCATGACCTACTATCTTGGGATTGAGGTAAAGCAAATGGAGGATTGCATCTTTATCTCACAAGCAGAATATGCGAAAGAAATTCTAAAGAAATTTAATATGGAGGATTGCAAGCTTGTATGCACCCCCATCGAAAGCGGAACCAAGCTGTCGACGAATGATGAAGGTGAAAAAGTAAACCCAACAATTTTTAAGAGTCTTGTTGGAAGTCTAAGATACTTGACGTGCACAAGACCAGATATCCTTTTTGGAGTTGGGCTCATCAGTTGCTATATGGAGACACTTACCATGGCCCATATGAAAACTACAAAGAAAATTCTTCGCTACATCAAAGGTACGCTTGAGTATGGCTTAGTCTATTCATCATCTAATGAATTCAAACTTATTGGATATAGTGACAGCAATTGGGGTGGAGATAGTGATGATAGAAAAAGCACCACTGGATATGTGTGTTACTTGGGTGGCATAGCTTTCACTTGGAGCTCAAAGAAGCAATCGATCGTAGCACTATCTACTTGTGAAGCTGAATATGTTGCAGCTACATCAAGTGTCTGTCATGCGATTTGGCTTAGAAACTTGTTGAAGACGCTTGAAGTTTCACAAGAAGAACCAACCGAAATCCATGTTAATAACAAATCGGCATTGGTATTAACAAAGAATCCAGTATTCCATGACAGAAGCAAGCACATTGATATAAGATATCATTTCATAAGAGAAAGTATTGCAAAGAAAGAAGTCCAGCTGAAATATGTAACCTCCCAGAAGCAGATTGCTGACATTTTCACTAAGCCACTTAAGCATGATGTGTTCCGCAAGTTAAGAACTCTACTTGGAGTAGCAAAATCAAGTTTAAGGGGGGATGTTGAGTAGTAAACTTGATTTTTGGACTAAATAATATGGGCTTAATGATTTTGCATATAGGCCCAAATCAATTAAAAGGCCCAACATGTATAGCATTTCTAGAAATATTATCTAGAAAAAACTATATAAATATCTATTAGAAAAATCTATGTAAATATCTAAGTAAGATATGTGGATTTATAAAGAATATCTAAAAAATTCTAGGGAAATATCTTGATGTGTGGTTTAGGTGTCTCTAGAAAATGGTTGGACTAAAAGCTTCATGTAAATACTATATAAAGGGGTAGTGCCCTCCATTTTGTAACAAGCTAAAAAGTGTGTAAAGTTTTGAAGTTGAGAAATACAAATTTCCTTTTTCACTTCCTCCTTCATATTAGTGTTGTCCTCTTAAAAACTTTAGTCAATTCAAGTTAGTAAACCTATCTTTCCTCAAGCATACCTTATGTTACCTCAAAAATAAAAGCATTGACACATTAAAAATTGATTGAATGCAACATAACAACCATAGATTCTAATGAGATTTGCTAAAAAAGAAGCTTTTGCATAAAATCATAAGTACAAAAGCATTATTCAACTCGATTTCAAACATTAAATTTATATCACAAAAATACTTTAATCATAAGCCAATCCAAAACACTGTATATATTTGATTTCCCTATTTTCTCGTGAATAGTATAATTCAACAATAATTTAGGTAGATGCAGGAGTTGGAGCATCAGCGATTCCGCCGAAAGAGTCGATAGCCACGGGACTGGGGGCGGCACCGCTGCTCAAAAGCGCCAACATGGCCCGGTGGGGGTGGGTCTTTTGTTTCTCACAAAGAGCAGGCAAATATACTCCTGAAAATTGTTGTAAACATTATTAGTTATTGTAAAATCAACTTTTAAAATGGAAAATTTAGCCATGTGTCCATTTTTTATATAAAGATCATACTTTAATTAAACTTCAAGAAATTGAGGATCAATTAAAGCATAAATACAATTTAGCCCATGTTTGGGCCTAATTTTTCACAACTCATTTTCACTACATATTTTGTGAGATTCACAAATTTTATCAACTTTTTAATCACACATTTTATTAACTATTATCAATATATAGATATAAGTTTTAGCCAAATCAAACAGGGGCTTACGATGGGATTTAACTTCTCATATCTCTAATTAAAAAATGAATCTACACTATGTTCGAGGGGCATGTTATCTTTATTAACATTAACTTTTAGATAAGATAATTAACAAATTACGATAAATTCTCACCTTCACCAGCAGCCAAGTTGTAATAGAGGTCAACAATGTTAGGGCAGTTCTGGTAACAAGCCGGGGAGCAAAGTCTAGCGGTAAACTGCGGAGCAAGGAAGGCGTCAGAGGAAATTCCGATGAAGCTCCGATCGACTCCGCATGCATTAACACATTGATCGGACTCTATATATCCAGCAATTCTTTCAACAACCACTTCTGATGTTTTGCATGTATAGTCCGGCTTCCCTTCTTCATCTCTGTAATTCTCCAATACGCACCTCTTTCCAGATGATGCAATTGCAAAGGAACAGAGATTTGCAGGCAAAGTCTCGCAGATTACTTCACCTAAAACACACAAAACACAGATACATATACGCATTAATCCTTAAATATTTACGTAGTTATAATTTATTTGTGTAAATTATGTAATAAGTGTATCTAAATTTTTACCTCGTGTGCCTTGAAGAAACATGGAGAATGCAAAGAAGAGAACAAAAGATATTTTCATTTTTTGTTTACTGTT